TCAGCTCGTGACGCGCGTTGATGACGACGCGCCTGTAATCCTCGCAGAAACCTAGCAGCGAGTCGAGAGGAACTCAGAAGTTGAAGTCGCCTGTCGACGCGACGCCGCTCGGTCCAGTCGCGAGATCCCATCCGGCGTTTTTCAAGATCTTGCCTCGTTCGGCTGTCAGCGAGGCGTAGTTCTTGATCGTGCTGGTTATTCCGACGTTGCGATTACGATCGATCTCCACGCCATCGAGCTCGTAACGTATCTCCTTGAACATAAAGGCGACGCAATTGTTCACGAGCCACGCCGGCGTCGAGGACACGGACGGCTCCTTAGAAGCCGAGGCAGGTTTACCCGATTCGCCGCTCGACGCGGGCGGCAGATTATTCTTCGTGTGTAGTCTATCTTCGACGTAGAGAAAACTCTCGCACGGCGGCGTGTATAGATCTTGCTGTTGTATGGGTATTCGTATCTCGTCGCTGTATCCGAAAGTGGTGTTGGCGTACGGATTGTACGTGTGACTCTCGATCTTAACGATGCGATCGTCGAAGACGGGTTCCCCGCCGATGCTCAGAATGTCCCTCATGTCGTCGAACTATCGCACGGCTCTCGGTACGACGAAACCCATGAATCGCAGAAAAGCGACGTTGGCTGCCGACAATCCCCCGACGCTCCTCTCTCTCGAGCGCGCGACTCGAGTTCCCGCGACGCAATTGCGGTCGCCGCCGCTGCTGCCGCGATGCGACGTCGCGACGCTAGATTTGCGCACGACGAGCATCGCCCCGTTCCCTCCCCCGTCTTCGCGTCTCGCCTCGCGTTCTCCATCGTCTGCGTCGCACGTGCAATCGATTCGAGATCTCCTCGCCGCGGAAATCAATCAATCGACCGTCCTGATCGACGACGCGCAGCGATACGTCGGTCACGAGTCGCGCGATGACTGGCAGATAAATGATCTGCCTCGGGATCTTCGACACTTTATATCCCGGCGGGACGTTCGGCGCGAATTCGTGTATCGCGTGGGCGGATCTCCTGTTCACGTACGCGCCCGTCGTCAGGTTGCACTCCACGCGAATCGTGGAATCCACGTTAACCGATAATGTTCACGGGCTTGTCGGACGCGTACCATTTGTTCGGCCGCAATACGCGAGACTGAGAGAAATCTAATAACGATCCGATATTGTTCGGTTTGGTGAAATTAATTCGGTACGCGCATTTGATTTCGCTTCTCATGGTATTGTCGTTACCGCGTAGCGCGAGAACGCGATCGCCGCTCTCGTCTTCCGCGTCCTCGACGTCATATAGATATTTGTCGTCGTCGCCGTCGCTGGCGCCATCGCCGCCGTCTCTCCCTTCGGTACTCTCGCTCGGCGGTCGTCGCCGTCTTCGAAGAATCGTGGCTTTTAGGTACGCGCTTATATCGCGCAGCTCGTAGGATCCGATCGGGATCGCGATCATCTCGTCGTTGTCGTCGAAGTAAAATCGTGTTGTAGGTCTCGAAATTGGTCAGGCCGAGCTCGTAATCGTCATCGCTCAGATCGGGAGGCGGAAAGTAACTCGCCGTGAGAACGTTGCTTCTTCCGGTCAGCGTGAGAATTAATGACATGTTGACGCGCTCTATCGCCGTTAGAGACCGAAGGGCTTCCTCCTTCCTTCTCCCCAATCGACTCGTCGAAGGAAGCGCAGGCACAATTGTCCGCAGACGCTCTGATCGTACGTCTGCTGAGAGTCGCGATTGTACGCGATGCGCGTGTCGCGTCCGAGATAACGCACGAGTTCTCGAGGCGGACGAAGATTGCCGAAAGCGTCGAAGTAGATAGCGTCTTTTCCCCTTTTAGCGTACGCCACCCAATGCGTGCCCGGTCCCGAGGCGTCGTCCAGATTCACGATACCACTCTTGTCGCGACGAACTCGCGCCGGCAACGCGTCGCGCATGAACACACCTCTGAAGTGACGCACGCGAGCGCGCTTGGCCGCGCTATTCAACTGTTCGTTCGTCGTGACGCCGATCGGAGCTACGACGTCGTCTAACGCGCGCGAAGGCGCGACTTTTTTTTCCCCCTTCTAACCGTTCGTCCGCCTCGTCTCGCGATGCTTCGGCCGCGCTTGTAAGACGCGAGATACAAACCGCAGCCCTCCATCGCTCGATTGTGTCGTTGCAACTCCTCCAATTGTCGACGCGCGGCCTTACCGTCGTTCACCATCTTCGCCACGCCGGCCGCTCCACCGATCAGCGATCCTAAAGCTCCGAGCGCCGGCAACAGCGGCAGGAAGCCGCCGCGTTTCGCCGCGGGAAGAACCCGTCCTCTCGTCGTCCTCCTCCTCGTCGAGGTCGTTCTTCTCTTGTCGCCGCCGCCGCCGCTCTTTCTCGCGCCTCTTCGCGCTCCAGCCATACCCATTCCTAGTTTCGTCTTCGCATTCATAGGCGCCCATACGGCCGACGCCGCCACTCTCTCGCCGAGAGACGAATCCCCGGCCCAGATACGCTCGAACACTCTCGCTCCGAGCGCTCGATCCGCGACGTACCGATCGGCGAGATCGTCGCTCCGCGAATAGGCGATGTCGTGCTCATAGCAAGGCGCGTCCAGCGGATTGACGCCTCGATCGCCTCGCGCGAGCCGCTTCGCGAGACGAGTACCGGGACCGCAAAACTGATATCCCGGTATATGTAGTTCAAACGGAAAAGCGTTTATAGTTCTATTGAGCAAACCGCTACAGCCGACGACTGCCGTCGCGGCGTCCTCGGCGTATCTCATACGCCTCGATCGTCGACGCACTCATAGTCACGCCATTTCCTTCTCCCGACACATGCTGCAGTCTTTGATGCACGGCGGCGGATCGTCGATGTGCGTTCGTTGCCACGGCTGATTGTGATGCTTGTGACAGAGGCGATAACGCTGCACGTCCGGATCGTCCTGCAGATGTATAGGCAATCGCTCCCACAATCGATCGACGAAATCACCGTACTTGTTTAGCAGAAGCTTCTTCGGAACGTACTGCAACTGATCGACACTGAGTCCGAGAATATCGTAATCGTTCACCAATAGAATAAACATGACGAAGCGTCGCGCACGCGCGCGTAACTTTATCGCGTCACCGTCGATCGGACACGCCTAACTGCGCGATCGTTTTTTTTCCCTCTATATATATGTTCGCGAGAGCGAATCCGCGCTCGTTGCTCGCGCGCGCGAGTCTGCGCACTGAGACGCAGATTCGCTCGCGACAACGAGGAAGAATTGCAAGAGAAGAGAGAGAAAACGATGCGTTTCGTGCGTCAACCGATCGCGATAAGAGTGTCCAACGTCGACAGTAAGACGCGCTCGATGAAAGAGGAACCGCGAAAACACGGTAATCTGTTACCGACCGCGATCCGCTGCGTAATCTGCGGTCCCTCTAATTGCGGTAAAACGAACGTGCTGATAAGCCTTTTGGAGAGTCCGCACGGCGTGCGATTTGAGAACGTGTACGTTTACTCGAAATCGTTGCATCAGCCTAAATATCTGGAGAAATTGTTGAAACCTATGCGGGATATCGGTTACTTCACATATTCGAACAACGCCGACGTCATCCCGCCTAGCGAGGCGTTGCCAAACTCGATATTCGTGTTCGACGACGTGGCCTGTGACAAACAGGACGTCGTGAGAGAGTACTTCGCCATGGGGCGTCACGCGAAGGTCGATTGCTTCTATCTGTCCCAATCGTACGTTAAGATACCCAAACATCTGATACGCGACAACGCGAATCTATTGATACTCTTTAAACAGGATGGCACTAATCTGAAACATGTGCACAGCGATCACGTGAACACCGATATGTCGTACGGGGATTTTCACGCGCTGTGTCGCGCGTGTTGGAAATACCGATACGGTTTTCTAGTGATCGACAAAGATAGCGTGCTGCGCAACGGTAGATACAGGCGAGGGTTCAACGATTACGCCGTATCGTAGAGCGTCGTCATCGCCGAGGATGAGTCAGTCTTCCCGAGACGGCGGCGATTGTAGAGGGGAAAGAGAGATAAGAGAAGGCGAGACGCCGAGGAACGACGCGCGATGACGGACATCGACAGACGTGAGAAAACCGCGATAGAGATAGCGAAAACGCGCGCGTCGATTCGCAGGAAGCACAGAGCGTTGAAGATCGGAAGGATACAGAGCGATAGCGCTCTGGAGACACCTTTCAAACCGATCGTCGAACCATTGCGACGCATCGCCGAGCGCGTCGAAGACGATTCCGCGCGAGGCGCGAGCGCGAGAGAGAAGGAACCGGCGAAGAGCGAGATCGACGAGACGTTCGCGCGAGGCGTCAAGAGAATGAAGGCGCCGGAGGAGGAGGAGGAGGAAGAGAAGGAGGAGGAGAACGACGAGGAAGAGGCCGAGGAGAGCGCGTTACCGCCGCCGTCCACGAAAGGATTCAAAGCTAAGCGATCTCGCCGTCTGAACGCGACGACTTCCACGCCCGTGGGAGCGTCGGACGCGTCTCCTGCGCAGCAGCCCCAGTATTGTGAGACGGGCCGGGTTTTTTCGCGCATGCACGGCTATGTTGACTGTTAGGTTAGTAGTTACAGGTACGTATCTAGTATCTGCAGAAGGTTAGTGCGACGTGAATGCTGAAAGTTTTGGCGGGCTTAACGTGCAATAGAGGAAAAGAGAAATTGGATAGTTGTTGGTGAGTAAATATTAAAATGGATTATAATAATAATAGTAGTAATAGTAGTAGTAGTAGTATTGGAAAAGGAGTTGTTAAAAAACGTAGAATTAGAAATTTTCAACATTCTTGGCTAGATGAAGATATTTTTAAAGGATGGTTAACTCCTCATCCTGTAGAGAATATATCCATAAAATAATTTAAAAAATAATATTTTCTCTTAAATTATAAAAACTTTGCAAAATTATAAATGGATGACCAACGTGGTACTATGGTACACCTTTTTATGTATAAAGATACTTCATTGATACTACGTTCGCCGCGCATGCGTGAAAAAACCCGGCCCGTCTCACAATACTGAGCAGCCCGTCGAGGAGATGTTCGAGACGAGCGACGACGTCTTCTTTGGATCGCCAACGACGCTCGAAACGTCTGTGAGACGGTCTCTGCGGACTCCTCGAGGGCGAGACATCTTGCGCGATCAATTGGGCCCGTTGGCGCGAAAGTATGTGGGCGCTCTTCTCAGCGGCGGCGCGCCGAGCGATTTCGATCGATTCGACGTTTACGGAGTCTATTTCGCCGACGCAGGCACTATGCTCGGGGACAAGCGATTCGACGTAGGCGTCGACGACGCGATATTCGTGGACGGAGTCAGATACGCCGGTACTCTCGGTTTGTACGAATTGATCTTCAAGAGAATTCCCGACGATTTCAAGTACACTGAGAGAGACAAAGCCGCGTACAGGAGCATACTTCTGCAAACTAACGCTCACAGACGCGAGCACAATATTCGCAAGGGAGAATAGGTCGGTTCTAACTCACTTTTTGCACGGGTGCGAGAGAGAGGTCTCGTAGAGCGAGAGAGATAGAAAGATATCCAAGGGGCAGGGTGACGGCGGCGGGGGCGAGCAGGGGGGGTAGGTAGGGCGAGGGGAGTTGCTCGCCGTCGGGTGGGTAAACGGAGGGTCGTGACGTCACGCGGAGGGGAGGGTGAAGGGGCGGCGGGTGAGGGGGAGCGGACGGAGGGTCGTGACGTCACGCGGAGGGGGTGGCGAGGGGGCGGCTGGGCGAGGGGGAGCTGGCGCGAGAGCGAGGGAGAGGGCGAGAGAGAGCAAGGGAGAGGGAGGGAGAGCGCGCGCGCGTCCCTGGTTACGGCGCGCGCGTCCCTGGATACGGCGCGTCGGAGCGTCTCTGGACGCGGCGCGCTAGGCGTGCGCGATAAGCGGCGATCGTCGGGCGCGAGACAGAGATAAGGTCGCCGTCGACGGCAGAGCGGATGTATTCGACGCAGGCCTGGAAGAGACGTAATATAAAATATGCGATTCGCGCGATTTATATAATATTTATATAATATTTATATAATATTTAAATAATATTAATGTAATATTTATATAACACATACGCGCCTCCGCAGGCTCGCGTCGTTTCGACGCGCCGAGGAGGGAGCGACAAGCGGCCTCGAGCGTTTCCATCGCATCTTACGCGTCGCTCGAATGTAAATTTGAATATTTTTTTTTCTTTCCGTTTGTAAAAAGGCGCGCGATGTATCGGGAGAGCACGCGGAGCGCGGCGGTGTTTCTCGCCTCGTCTCGTCGTAGACGTCGGACGCGAGTTTGCCGCGCTCGAGCGGACCGCTCGAATTTTAACCTAAATGTGCGCACGTTTCGTAAACGAGCGTACGATGTATCGGGAGAACACGTCGCGAGTAGAGGCGTCTCTCTCTCTCGTCGACGGAGGTCGTCGATCCTTCGTTCTGGAGGATCGACGGAGAGCGCGTCGATCGGACGAGGGCCGGCGTTCTCGGACTCGCCGCTTATCTCTCCTTTTAAGCGCGATAACGAGAGAGGAGGATAACGCGAGAGCCAGAATCCCGCCAGAGGATAACGCGGGTAGAACTCTGCGATACACCTACGATCGCGAGGACAGCGGTCGCGAGTACCCGTTCCGCCGAAATATGTTTTGCGGCGTCGATTTGATACGCTTGAAGCGCGAGTTGTCATGAGCGAGGAGCGCGTCGATCCGCCGATCGATCGCTACATTCGAGTGTTGAAGGAGAGGATCGCGTGGAGCGTCGCGACCTATTCCACGAGGCGGGCGATCGGTCTTCGAGACGCGCGAGGAGCTGTGGATCAAGACGGTTGGTGTGTAGCGGAAGAGCGGCGAGATTCGACGCCGGAGATACGCGGGTGACCGGGTCGCGTCGCGGGTTTTCGCTGCCGGTGGATTCGCGAGGCGAGACGCTGTGGATAAGGCCCCGCGGGGAGGAGAGAGAGAGGACGACGAGTTGCCGTAGGGAGAGAAGAGGACGCGGCCATGCGGGAGGAAGAGCGCCGAACGCTCGAGAGAGTGCGCGACGTCGCCACGACGGACGACTATCGCGCGTGGACGCGACGGTGCGAAGAGTGTCTCGCGACTCTGCGCGAGAGGTGCCTAGACGCGAGTCGCCGAATCTCCACGGGGGCAAGGACCTCTCTGGTCGCCCGAAACCTGCGAATGATCGGCGCGAGGAACGATCTACGGCGACGCTTCGAGCGGGAGGGCGCGGGTGTCGCGAGACGCGAGGATGATGACGGCGGTAGCCGGGTCGAGTCGCGCGAGAGATTCTCGTGGTCCGAGGTCGAGACGGCTTTCAAGAGACGCGTGTTGACCGGCGCTGTGATAAATCTCGATTACATCGAACCTCTGAGATTTCTCGAGGACGCGAGGGACACCGTGCTCCGCCGCGTGCGCGACGTCATGAGCCGATATGGCGGCGTTAAGGTGAACATGACGTTCAACGGAGAATTCGTGTCGGGCGATAAAACCTCCGTTAAGACGATCGCCATGAGAAATCGTCCCCTTCTACCCACGACGGATCTGCGCGAGTGGTACGATACTCGCGTCGTCGGCGATACCGTCGCGTCTTTGGAGGAGTTTCAAGAGCGCGACAGCGGATGGAACCTGTTGCGCATACTCGATCTAACAGTGAACGTGAACGTGTACAATCCCATGCGGGCAAGATGCCGCGTGCAAGTACCGCGAGAGATTCAGATGAAGAGAGCGGTGGTCAATGTGCGATCCGACGACGAGGCGTGTTTCGCGTGGTCGGTGGTCGCCGCTCTGTATTCCGTCGATAAGAATCGTGAGAGAAGCTCGCGATATCCGCATTACTTCGAGGTGTTGAATCTGGAGGGCTCGAAGTTACCTATGACTCTGAACGGAATCGGACGGTTCGAGCGTCTGAACGATATATCGGTGAACGTGTACACCGTCGGAGAGAGACGACACGGGAAGGATGGTGGCAGCAGCGGGATTCGCATCGTCCCTCTTCGTCTGACGGATCGAAAGAGGGAGAGACACGTCAATCTGCTGTATCTGAGCGATGCGACGCGCGAGGATAACGCGGTCGGACATTTCGCCTGTATCCGAGATCTGTCTCGTCTGATCGGCTCGCAGTTGAGTAAGCGACAGCACAGGACGCACGTGTGCGATCGGTGAGCGTTTGATCTCGGCGAGCGAGAGCGAAATATCGAGCTAGCATTTATTTCGTATTTTCTTTCAGATGCATACATTACTTTCGCACGAGCGAGAAGCTGTTGGCGCACAGCGAGGATTGCAGCAAGCTGAATTGCGCGATCGTTCTTCCCGACGAGGACGACAGGTGGCTGGAGTTCGATCATCATTCGAGGAAGGAGCGAATTCCGTTCGCAGTGTACGCCGATCTGGAGTGCGCGTTGGAGAGGAAAGAGGGAGACGAGGGCGGGAGAACCAAGAATACGCGGATCGTTTAGCATCACAGAGTTCACAGCGTGGCCTATTACATGCGTTGCTCCTTCGACGACGCCGCGTCGGCGTACGGATCTTATCGCGGCGAGGATTGCGTCGCGTGGTTCGTGCGCGAACTGCGCGATCTGGCGCTTCGCGCGAAGGTCGCCCTCGACCCTACGCCGTGGTACCGATGGCGGATCTGACGTTTGACGAGCGGGAGATGTTCGCGAGCGCGTCGCGCTGTTACGCGTGCGAGAGATCGTTCGAGGCCGACGACGCTCGCGTGTGCGATCACTGTCACTTGACCGGCCGTTTCAGAGGTCCGGCGCATTCCGCGTGTAATTTGAATTACAAGCCCCCTACGTCATACCCGTATTCTTTCACAATCTATCGGGTTACGACGCCCACTTCATTATCAAGGATGTGGCTAACGCGTATCCCGGCAGCGTCGAGTTGTTGCTGGTGACGAAGGAATCGTACATAGCTTTCTCGAAGACCGTTCGAGATAGCGCGGCGGCGGCGGCGGAGGGAGACGGGGGAAACACCGCGTGTTCCAGATACCAAATTACGATTCGTGGACTCGTTCAAGTTTTTAAGCGCCGGTCTCGATAAGCTGGCGTCGTATCTCGACGAGAGCAAACTGACTATCGCGCGAGGCGAGTTTCGCGATCTCTCGCACGACGACTTCCGGCTTCTCACGCGCAAGGGCGTGTTTCCGTACGAGTACGTCGACAGCGTCGAGGGATTGCGGGAGACGCGTCTCCCGCCGCGCGAGTCCTTCTACAGTTTTCTGACTGGTGACATCTATCGGAGAGGGATTACGCGCACGCGACGCGCGTCTGGAAGCGATTTAGCGTCGAAAATCTAGGCGAGTACAGCGATCTCTATCTGAAGACCGACGTTCTTCTGCTCGCGGACGTGTTCGAAAATTTTTGCGCCGCTTGTTTGGAGAGTTACGGTTTAGATTCCGCGTACTACTTCACGCTGTCGGGATACACGTGGGACGCGATGCTTAAATACACGGGGGTCCGTTTCGAACTGCTCACCGATATCGATATAATGATGTTCGTGGAACACGGAATACGCGACGGTCTGAGTCAGTGCTCCAACAGATACACTCGCGCTAACAACAAGTACATGAGCGCGTACGATCCATCGCGACCGTCGATCTGATGTATCTCGATATCAACAATCTATACGGTTGGGCGATGTGTCAGTCGTTGCCGTACGAGCGATTTGACACGCGTTTACGCACTAACGCGAATAACGATTTTGAGAAGAATCTGTACAAGTTGATGAACAACGCCGTCTTCGGCAAGACCATGGAGAACGTGCGCAATCGCGTGGACGTTCGACTCGCGACTCGATGGAACATTCGATTCGGAGCCGAGGCGCTCATCTCCAAGCCGAATTTTCACAGTAGAAGCGTATTCTCGGAGAATCTCATGGCCGTGGAATTGCGCAAATTGGATGCGAAGATTGACAAACCGATCTACGTAGGCATGTCCATTCTCGATATATCCAAGATTCATCTGTACGAGTTTCACTACGAATACATGTCGCCGCTCTACGGCGATAAGTATAAGATATTGTACACCGACACGGACAGTCTCATTTATAGCGTAGAGTGCGAGGAAGCGTACGAGCGAATGAAGCGCGACATCGATAGATTCGACACGAGCGATTACGCCGTCGACAATCCCTATGGCGTGCCGCGCGCAAATAAAAAGATTCTCGGTCTGATGAAGGACGAGAACAACGACGCTCTCATGCTCGAGTTCGTCGGATTCAGAGTGAAGATGTACGCGTTGCGAGTCGAGGGTAGGGGCGACACTAAGAAGAGCAAGGGCCTGAGGAGCAGCGTCGTCGCGAGAACGCTGACGTTCGACGATTACGAGCGCTGCTTGAGACGCGAGATCGAGATGACTCGCGAGCAGTCGTGCCTGAGATTCAAGTTACACGAGGTGTACACCGTGCGCGAGTCGAAGGTGGCGCTCAGTCCGTACGACGATAAGCGCTACGTCGTGCCGGATTCGACCGATACTCTGCCGTGGGGGCACTACAGGATACCTCTGTGAGGAGAGGCGCGGATAGATCTTAAGCGCTATGCGACGTATTTTTACAGATATGCGTAAGGTATTTTATTATCTTTAATGTTATCCAATATATATGTTCGTTGCGATGCGTTACAATACGCGCAATGTATTTTCTTATCTTTAATATTACAAATATACCGAGTGTTTCAGACCACCCGTACACCCCATTTTAAAGCAAAGGAAGTGGTTATTTTGAAAAATGTTTCAGACAAAAGTTGTTGAAGATAAAGTAATGCATTACATGGGTAAATTTGATTGACCTTGGGTGGCGTCGTGAAAGTCATGTCAAGGTCGACTTGAATTTTTTAAATGGGAACCCCTATTTTTCATTGCATATTCTTGTAGCTTATCTCGAGAGCTTTCCAAAACACTATAATTAAGTACCTTTTTATTAAGTACTTTTTGAGTTATAAGGCTTGAAATAATTTCTTAATTTTATATAAACCATAAAATATCTAGTAAACCATTCATTTTTCGATTATCTTACCTTCATACTTTTATGTACAAAATAATGAGAGGAATCAATTGGTGTAAAGAAAACACATAGTTGTTTCTAAGAAAAAATATGGAATTGTTAATTGCAAATTACATATTTTTTCTTAGAAACAACTATGTGTTTTCTTTACACCAATTGATTCCTCTCATTATTTTGTACATAAAAGTATGAAGATAAGATAATCGAAAAATGAATGGTTTACTAGATATTTTATGGTTTATGTAAAATTAAGAAATTATTTCAAGCCTTATAACTCAAAAAGTACTTAATAAAAAGGTACTTAATTATAGTGTTTTGGAAAGCTCTCGAGATAAGCTACAAGAATATGCAATGAAAAATAGGGGTTCCCATTTAAAAAATTCAAGTCGACCTTGACATGACCTTCACGACGCCACCCAAGGTCAATCAAATTTACCCATGTAATGCATTACTTTATCTTCAACAACTTTTGTCTGAAACATTTTTCAAAATAACCACTTTCTTTGCTTTAAAATGGGGTGTACGGGTGGTCTGAAACACCCGGTATATATTCGTTGCGACACGTTATAATACGCGCGATGTATCTTTTCGTCTGTAATATCGCGCGAAAATATACGTATGTTCGTCACAATATGTCGGCTTTGTCTATCCATAAATTATGCGACTTGTCCATTCCCAGCCACTTCACGAGAACCGCGTCGCCCTTCCGGCGCAGCACTCTCTCCACGAGATACACGTCGGGATCGGAGACTCGCTGCAACTCGTGCTCGTAGAATCCGCCGGCTATCGGCTCGCCGCGCGAATCCTTCAGCAGATACGTCGCGGAATTCGTCCTTCGCACCTCGGCTACGCGGAAGATCTCCGCGGTCCAATTCGGCGTGTATCCCTTCTCGAACAGCGTCTTGTACTTGCTCACGCGCACGGGATCGTTCGGTCGAAATTTTCCCGGAGCGGCGATCTTCGGGTGGCTCTACCCCGTCGACAGGAGTCTCGACGCTCGAGCGGGCGTCACGTCGATCGGACGCATCCCGATGATTCGATGCTTGTGAGCGTTGTACTCGGATATTAGACGCGGCAGCACGTCGAGCCACTTATACGTTCCGTTCATCGCGAAGTACTCCCACATTGAGTTCTTGAGCGTGCGATTGAAACGCTCGACGATGGACGCTTTCAGCACAGAATACGTCGAGTAGTGATTGATGCCGTGTCTATCTACGAATTTTCGCACCTCGGCGTTGTAGAACTCCTTTCCTTTGTCGGTCTACAGATTCCTCGGGCGACGTCTGGAGGCGCGCGTCACGCTCGACAGGGCTCAAGCGACCTCGTCGCCGCTCTTTCTCTTGAGCGGTACCGCGCGTACTTGCTCAGAGCGTCGATGACGGTGAGTATGTAATTGTGGCCTCTGTTCCGTCCGGCGTAAGGACGCATCTTGACGACGTCCGCTTGCCACAGATCGTCGTATCCGCGCACCGCGACGCGGCGGCGGGGGAAGTTCTTTCTCGCTGGCGCGTGCAGCTCGTTCACGAGTCTCCGTTTCGCGGCGCTCATCTCGCCGTCTTTATTTTTTTCTACCATCTCTTCGACTGTTGATTATCAGGAGTTTTAGCGCCCAGTTGTATGATTACCTTATTCGGATCGATCGTCTTAGGAATCGCAGCCGCCGCCGCCGCCTTTGCCGCCGCCGCCTTCGCCGCCGCCCTCGTCGCCGTCGTCGTCGTCGCGACCGTTCTTCTCGCGAGTTCGTTCGCGTCTTTCCTCAGACGCGCCATCTCGGCGTCCAGTTCTCGCAATTTCACGTTGGAAGTCAGCGCCTTCGCCGTCAATTCCTGCAACGTTCTGTCGTGACCGCTCAACGCGGCTCGATTTCTCTCGTTGTTCGTCGCTACATTGTTCACGTGCGACAGAGATCTCTCCAAGGCGCGCACTCGCTTCTCCGTTTTCTCGCCGATCTTCTCGAGCCGCGCGACGGAGATCCCCAGTTCGCGCGACAGTTTGCTCGACGCGTCCCCGTTCGTCCAATTCGTCTCGACGGAGATCGCCCAGTCGCTTGTCGACGACCACGTGCGAGGCCGATCTCTCCGCCTCGACGGTCTCGATCCTCGTCGCGGCGAGCTCCTGCAGATTCTCCAGTGTTTGCAGCCGATTCTCGAGAGCGCTCCCTCGCGCGAATCCGCGTAACGTCGGCTTCCAGAGCGCTCGATCTTTCGGTCGCGGCGCTCTCGAGAGCGTCGATCTTCTTGCTCAGAGCGACGATTTTCTTCGCCGTCGAGGTCGCGTTGTTATCCGCTAGCGTTCTCGCGCTCGTGATAAGCTAGTGATTACTCGCCACGTTCGCTCTCACCACATGTATAACGCTTTCGACGTAACTCTTGTTCGTCGCGTCGGTCGGTCAGACAACTCCTCGTATCTTGAGACGCCGCGCATCGTAATGCGACGCGGAGGGAGAGACGTCGGAGACGGTCAGGCACAGCGCGTTATCGCGCACGTAATTTCGCAGAGATTCCACGCTCGCGCGCAATCTGACGCTCGTCGCGTCGCGACCGCGTCTTCTCCGCGTCGACACTCGGAACTTGCTCGCGGACATCGCGTCGTCGAATGAGGCGCGCGCGATCGTCTCACAGTATCTCGCCCGCTTCGCGGAGCTCCTCGATTATCGACAGGATCTCGTTGTCGTGAGCGTTGTTGCCGGCTTGACGAGAAGCGTCCAGCAATCGGAGACGATCCACCAATTCGTTCGGATCGTCCCAGTGAACGTAATCCACGGTGTCGCGGGTCGCGCGCATAGCCCGCGGCACGCGACCCCCGCCGATCCTCTTCCTCGGACTGTCCGTCCGCAGGATCGGAGCTATGACGTGCTTGTACTTGTATCCCTTGTTTCCCAGTACGGGCATGCGAATATTGTGCTCGTGCCTGTGAGCGTTAGTTTGCAGAAGTATGCTCCTGTACGCGGCTTTGTCTCTCTCGATGTACTTGAAATCGTCGGGAATTCTCTTGAAGATCAATTCGTACAGAAGTACGGGAGTACCGGCGTATCTAACTCCGTCCACGAATATCGGCGCCTACGTCGAATCGCTTGTCCCCGAGCATAGTGCCCGCGTCAGCGAAGTAGACTCCGTAAACGTGATCGAAATCGCTCGGCGCGCCGCCGCCGAGAAGAGCGCCCACGTACTTTCGCGCCAACGGGCTCAATTGGATCGCGCAAGATGTCTCGCCCTCGAGGAGTCCGCAGAGGCCGTCTCACGGACGTTTCGAGCGTCGCCGGCGATCCGAGGATGACGTCGTCGTTCGTCTCGAACATCTCCTCGACGGGCGGCTGCGCGAAAAGGTCTCCGCTCGCGAATTCGCGATGCTCGTCGTGCGCGAATCTAGCGTCGCGACGTCGCATCGCGGTGGCGACCGCGATCGCGTCGCGGGAACTCGAGTCGCGCGCTCGAGAGAGAGGAGCGTCGGGAGATTGTCCGCAGCCAACGTCGCTTTTCTGCGATCCATGGGTTTTGTTGTACCGAGAGCCGCACGATAGTTCGACGATGACATGAGGGACATTCTGAGCATCGGCGGGGAACCCGTCTTCGACGATCGCATCGTGAAGATCGAGATTCGCACGTACAATCCGTACGCCAACATCACTTTCGGATACAGCGACGAGATATGAATACCCATACAACAGCAGCTGCTGACGAAGAGAGAGAAGTCGCAGGCCTGTTGACTCTTAATCACCACGAATTTCACTGGACCGACGGATACGTGGAGTATAGGCACGCGAAGCAGATCGTTCGCGACGCGATATATCGCGCGTCGAGGGATCTCGTGTTGAACGCCGCGGTGACGATCTACGTCAAGGGTCTCGAGAAGAAGAAGTTGCTGGCCGACATCGCGGGAGAGGTCGCGGAACAGCTCGACCTGACGATGGAGACCATCGACGCCGATTACGAGGATATCGGACTCCTTCGAACGCTAGCCGCGACTCGCACCTATCGCTGCGGCTATCACTCGAAGAATTACGCCTTGGAAAACGTGTGCAAACTGCACAACTGGTGGTTGGAGAGACGCAATCAATTGCGCGACATGCGGACAAAGACGCGTCGCGCGCGTCTCCGCATCGTAGATTAGTCTTGCGCGTACTCTTATCGACGACTTATCGCCGTACCTAAAAGTATTATTAATACTTAGAAAGATACTATTAATACTAAGAAAAAAATAATATTAAAATAACATTAAAATAACATTAAAATAATATTAAAATAATATTAAAATAACATTAAAATAATATTAAAATAATAATAAAATAATATTAAAATAATATTAAAATAATATTAAAATAATATTAAAATAATATTAATTAGCGAATAAACGCTAACTCGTATCGCGCGTACACGGTTAAACGTATTTTCCGGCACTTCCACCGGAGCAATCGAGAATTTATCGCGTCTCATTAAATTACCTCGTTATATTTCCGCATCGCGCGATTTTTTTTTTCATATCGCCTTAGATTATGGCGTTAGCATTA